CAGAAAACAACAAAAAAAAACAAAACAAAAGGAGAACACAAATAAACAAACAAGAGAGAATTAGAGAAGATAAATAACACGAAGCTCGCCATGAGAAACCTGAAACGACAAGGTGTTATGATAACAGCTGGTAATTAACTCGTCAAGGGCAGGTGTTTGCGTGGCGCGGCGGGTGACAGATGCTCTTTGTGCACTGGGCGGGGGGGGGGGGGGGGGAAGGATGGGACGAGAGAGAGGATGGGGAGGGAGAGAGAGGGAGGGGGAGGGAAGAAGAAGGGAGAAGGGGAGGGATGGTGGGAAGGGATGGGGAGTGGGGGAGGGAGAGAGAGGAAGGGAGAAGAAAGGGAGTGGGGAGATGGAGTGGGAGAGAGGGAGAGAGGGAGGGAGAAGAAGAGAAGAAGGGATGGGGAGGGAGGGAGAAGGAGAATGGAGGGGGGAAGGAGGGAAGGGGAAGGGGAGGAGGGATGGAGGGAGATGGGAGGAGGGGAGGGAGGGATGGAGAGGGAGAAGGAGGAGGGAGAAGAAGAAAGAGGAGGACAAGGGAGTGAGGAGAGGGATAGAGAGGAGATGAAGGGCAGGAGCGAAGGGAAGAGGATTAGTGAGGGAGATAGCGAGAGGGAAAAAAGAGGTAGAGGAATGCGAGAAAGGAGAGACAAAGAGGTGGGGTGAGAGAGAAGGGAATGTCTTTCTACCAGCAATTAGACAGACAGACAGATGGACTGACAGACGACCAACAGACAGACAGACTACTGTCACACCCAACCAGAGACGCAAACAGACAGACAGACAGTCAACCGACCCAACCAGACAACAGGACAGACAGACAGACCGACCAGACAGACAGACAGACAGACAGAAAGACAGACAGACAGACAGACAGACGACAGACAGACAGACAGACAGACAGACAGACAGACCAGACAGACAGACAGACAGACAGACAGACCAAATAGACATACAGACAACCTCCCAAATAGACAGACTGACAGCCAACCATTACCAACCAACCGACAGACACAGACAGACAGATCACAGGTGCATACGACCCTGAAAAAAAAGCGAGAATTAACCCTCAGTCTTCCCTTCGGCCCGAGGCGGCGGGCGGGGGGGGGGGGCAACAGGTGTCCTTGGGGAGGGGGGAGGGGGGAGGGGGGCTGGCAGAAGGACACATCGATCCTACGGCTGTCAAGAGAACAGCTGACAGAAGGGGGGGCTCGATCCTACGCCTGGTTGGGAGAAAGGGGATCGGAGTTCATTTGTTTAGGTTTATGTTGTGTTGTGTTTTGTTGTTTGTTTGTTTGTTTTTTTTCTATCGTTTTTTTTCTTTTCTTTTTTTTTTTTTTTTTTTACAAAGCCTTTCAGATAAATTTCTTCCATTGTTTTCCTTCTCCTTATTCTTCCTATTTCTGTTATGCTGATAAACGCACTTCTCATCTCATCTCTCTCCCTTCCTCTTTTTTTTCTTCTTCTTCTTCTGCTATCATTATTATTACTGTCACTTCTTCCCATTAGCGACGAGCAGTCCCAATAGAACAAAAACACACACACACACACACACACACACACGCACACACACGCACACACACATACCGAAGTGTTCGCTGTCTTCTGCCATCACAACCTTACGTGCTCAGACCAGAAATGGTGCATATAATAATTTTTTTTTCTTTGTTTTCTTCTTTTTTCTTCAGCTTCCTCGAGATAATGTAATCTGAGGTATGATCGGTGATATATATAATAACTTTATCTCTATCTAGACGTTTGTTTTTTTCTCCTTTTATTTTCTTTTTTTGGGGGAGGGGGGGAGGGGGGGGTAATGTCATTTTGCTCTGATGTGATTCGTAGTAAATTGATAATAAGATAACAACTCGTTTTTGTTATCAATGTTGCGATAAGATATGTTCGCAGATACAATCTTCTCTCTCCTCTTCCTCCTTTCGCTCTTTCACCCCCCTCTCTTCCTCCTCCTCCTCCTCCTTCTCCTGTCTCTATCGCTCTCCTTCTCCTCCTTTTTCCTCCTCCTCCTTCTCCACATCCTCCTCCTCTTCTCCTCCCACTTCTCTGCCTTTCCCTCCCCCTTCTCCTCTTCTTCTCTTCCTTCTTCTCCCCCTTCTCCATCTTCTCCTCCTGCTCCTCCTCCTCAACATCATCCCCATTATCATTCACCTTCACCTCTCCTCCCCTCCTCCTACACCTTTTCCACCTTCGTTCCCCTTCTCCACCTTTTCCTCTTCCTCTTCCTCCTCCTCCTCTCTCCTCTTCATCTCCTCTACTCTCCTCCTTCTCCTCCTCCTCTTCCTTCCTTCTCCTCTTTCCTCTCCTCCTTCTCCTCTCTCCCTTTCTCTTCTCTTCCTCATCCCCTTTTCCTCCTCTGCTCCTGCTCCTCCTCCTCCTCACCACCAACTTATCCTCCTCAATCCTCCTCCCTCCTCCACCTTTCCCTCCCCCCCTCCCTCTCCGCCTTCACCATCACCACATCCCCCTTTTTCCTCTCCCTCCTCCACCTCCTCCTCCCTCCCCCTCCCCCCTTCCCCTCCCCTCCCCCCATCCCCCCGCCAACCCCCCCCCCCAAAAAAAAAACGACCTCCACAACTGACACTCACTTCTTATCCAGGTTGATGAACTTCATGTCGAGCGTGTGCACGGAGGTGAAGACGTTGGTGGCGCCCTGGACGACGCTCTCGCGGGTCTCGGGCATGGCCACGGGCGTGCAGTGGGCCAGGAACACGGGCTCGTTCCTCGAGCACAGCGGCAGGTACGACAGGTAGTGGCCCGCGACCAGCACCACCTGCGGGAGGGCGAGAGGGAGAGGGAGAGAGAAGGGGAGGTTTGAGAATGACACGAAGACTCGCCAGGATTTGGAATGACAAGGTGTTAGGATAATAAATGGTAATTAACTCTAGTTGATTATCAGTTGTTAATGGGATGTATTTCACTTGAAGATGAGAAGGTGTTATGATAATAAAATGGTAATTAACTCGTCTAGTTAATTACCGGTTGTTAGTGGGATGGATTTCACTTGAAGATGAGTAATGGTGTGTATCTTTAGGTCTTTTGTCTCTATTTCAAGGGTGAGGATGGGAGGGATTCGTGGGGATTAAATTTTGAAGGAAATGATATGAAGGGAAGGACAGAAAAATACACACGAATAATGCCTAAGCTATTTTTTTTTTTTTTTTTTTTTTTTTGTGCATTTCTTTATTCCTTCTTTCGGTTCCTCACTTCCCTTGTCACGTTTACAAGAATTATGATCTATGTCAAGCAGTAGAAGGGAAATAAATGATAATAATAATGAATGATAATAATAATAATAATAAGAATAGTAATAAATAATAATAGCAACAACAATAACAACAATAATGCTAATAAATATTAATAATAATAATAATAATAATAATAAAATAATGATGATGATGATACATCCCAAAACACAACACAAATAATTCCATCCATGATGCACAAACCCCCTCCCCCTCCCACCCCCCTCCCCTCCCCCCTCCAATCTAAACAAAGCAAAAATGCCAATTATAATTCCAGAACGTCCTTCTTCCTATCAATATTCTAAACAGGTTATTGATTCTTTTTCTCTTTTTTTTTCTTTTTTTTACTTATCTCTCCTATATATCTTAATTTTCTTTATCTATTTGCTCAGGAATACCTTTCTTATCTCCCCTTTTAATTTCTTCAAGACATGTTTTTTTTACCTATTCCTCAATAAGCCGGTTTTCTTTCCCTAATTCTCGCCTTATCGCTTCACAGTATTAGGTCCTTATATTGTCTATATTTCTCTGATTTATTATTTTTTTCCTCCTGTTCCCTGATTTCCATACTATTCCCTTATCTCTCGTAAAGCCAAATATTTTCTTATTTTCTCTCTGAAGAAATTGCCAGTTTCTGCTTCCCTCACGTCAGCTGTTATTTATTTTCTTTATTGAACATTTAATGCTCTAATTTTATCAGTTTCTTTTAATTTCATCCCTGTATCTAATATTTAAGAATTATTTTCTGTATTTTCTCTCCTCCTCGCCTGATGTATACCATTTACATTCCATGCACTAATTACTTCTTTCTCTGCCCCTCCTCTTTCCTAACCCCTCCCTACCTTCACTTTCATTGCCTAATTTCCCCTTTTTTTTTTTTTTCATTTCCTTCCTTCCCTTTGGTACCTTACCTATTCTCCTTTTTATTCCGAAATCCTTCTCCCTTAAGCCCTTCCCTACCCACACTCCCCTTATTCCATCTTCCCCCTACCTAATTTTCCATTTTTTTCTTCCCAAATCCTTCCCTCAACTCCTTCCTTACCCTCACCACCCTGCCCCTCACCTCCCTCCCTTCCTCTCCTCCTTCCCTAACTCACCTACCTTTCCCCAATCCTCGCCTTCTTCCCTAAAACGTCTGTGTTCCCTAACCCCGTTCCCTTACCCCTTAACCGGTTCCTTAACCCGTTCCCTAACCCCGTTCCCTTAACCCCGTTCCCTTAACCCCTTCCCTTAACCCTGTTCCCTTAACCCCGTTCCCTTAACCCCTTCCCTCCTCACCTTCTGGTCCCCGAACCTCATCTGCCTGCGGGCGTTCCTGGACACGTTCATCCTGCAGAGGAAGAGGCGGTCCTCCTCGTGGGCGGCGGCAGCGGTCTGCGCCCCCCTGACGAGCTCCGCCTGCACCGCCGCGTGGTCCTGCTTGTCTATGATGTCGTAGACGCTGTCGCCGTGGATCAGGAGGTCCTCCTGGGGGGGAGAGAGAGAGGGGGGGATTAGGTGGGCTTTCTTGAGGGGGGTTGTGTGTTTTTTTTTTGTTTTTTTTTTTGTCTTTTTATTTGCTAGGGTTGTGTTGTGTTGTTTTTTTGTCTTTTTAATTTGCTAAGCTTTTTTTGGTTTTTATTTTGTTTTGTCATTGTTTTTACACAGGTTCTTTAAGGTCTGTATTTTTCTTCTATTATATATCTAAGGCTTGTAGCTTGTATACACAATACACATACATACATAGACTTGCATACATATACACTCCATACACTCATACCTTTTAAACAACAAAGAATATGAATCTTTGAATAAAAGAAAGGAAAAAGAAGAAAAAGTGAAATCAAAGCAGACACCTTGTGCTTGTGCTTGAGTTTGCGCGTGTGCTTTTGGAGTGTGGGTGTGTGCGTGTGTACGTACTACATGTAAGTGTCTGTGAGTGAGAATGTGTCTCTGTGGTGCATGTGCTCATCTGCATGTCGCTGTGAATGTGTGTTTGTATGTCTACACGTGCATGTAACATGCGTGTATGAATTTGTATGTTCATATTGGTGTGTGTGTGTGTGTGTGTGTGTACTCATGTATGACTTTATATGCGTATGCCATGATTATGTGTGCATTTGTGTGGACGTATATGCAACATGTAGGAATACACGCTCCTGTGGGCATCATTTTGATAATTTTCACGCAGGTATACATGTGTCTAAACGCCTGCATGGTGACATGTCCCTTCGGTTATGCGCCCGTGTAGATCGTCCGTCATCACGCCCATCCGTCACACGAGGCCATCCGCCCGCATTCCACGCCCGCCGCCCGCGCCCGACCCAGCGAGTGCGAACGAGGGCGCCCGAGAAGTCCCCCTCTCACCTCGCGCTCAAAACCCGCCCGCCCACGCTTTGTTATGCTAATGAGCCCCCTGAGCGCCGCCCACACCTGCGGGCGCCGAGCTCTTCTGTCGCGGGCGTGGGTGAGCTGCGTGTTCGGCTCCTCGAGACGCCGGCAACACGTGTTCGGAGGAGGGGGCGTCGAGGCTCGAGCCGAGGAGGGAACAGCTGTGTTAGGCGGAGGGGCTGCGGGCGGGTGGGGGGGGGGGTGCGGCGGGTGGGCTCGAAGGGGAAGGGGGCTTTCGGCTTCCTCAGGGGCTTGGTTTGGGTTTGTTTGTTTGTGTTGTGTGTGTCTGTTTGTTTGTATTGTATGTGTGTTGCATGGGTTATGTGTTTGTTTGTACTGTGTGTGTGTTTATTTGTCTATGTGTGTTCCTTTGTTTGTGTTGTGTGTTTGGTTGTCTGTATTGTGTGTGTTTGTATGTGTTACGTGTTTGTTTGTGTTGTGTGCGTTTATTATTTGTTTGTGATTATTATTGTCTTTCTTCTCTGTTGGGTAAGTCGTTTGGCTGTCGGCTTGACACCTTTCCTCAATCTCTCTCTCTCTCTCTCTCTCTCTCTCTCTCTCTCTCTCTCTCTCTCTCTCTCTCTCTCTCTCTCTCTCTCTCTCTCTCTCTCTCTCTCTCTCTCTCTCTCTCTCTCTCTGTGTGTGTATGTCTGTATCATCCCCGTAATATCATCCAGCTCTAAAAACACATCTTTCAATCCTACAAGAACAAAAACATCCATATTAAGCATACTAACCACACCTACCTCCCTCCCTTCCACCTTCCTCCCTCCTCCCCTTCCTTCTCCCTCCCTCCCTCCCTCCCCTCCCCTCCTCCTCCTTCCCTTCCTCCTCCCTCCTCCTCCCTTCCTCCTCCCTCCCTTCCTCCCTCCCCTCCCTCCCTCCCTCTCCTCCCCCTCTCTTCCCTCCCCTCCCTCCCTCCCTCCCTTCCCTCCTCCCTTTCCCTCCCTCCCTCCCTTCCCTCCCTCCCCTTCCCTCCCCCTCCCCCCTCCCTCCCCCCTCTTTAGAAGAGAAAAAAAGCCAACTCTCTCAAAGAAAAAGCCACAAAAAAGCCGTGGCTTCTGCACGGGACCCTCCCACACCCCACCCCACCACCCCCCAACACCCCACCCCCACCACACCGTAACATCTCCCCGCGACAGGGCAGTAATGAGCCCCAGGTCCATTAGTAACTAAATAAAACCGCGTTATATAATGGAGGCGCTTTGGTCGAGTCGGCACTTGATCTGCTAATTACTGCCAGATCAAACAGGCAGCCTTTGTCCCGGGGTGTCAGTGTTGCAGTGTTGCCAGATGCTGTCAGTGTTGGCCGGTGGCGGTGGCGGAGGGAGTGGACTTGGGGAAGGGAAGGTCTCGCGTTTCTTGCGGTTTCATCTGCTCCCTTCTTTTTATTGCGCTTTCTCTCTGTTTATCGATCTATCTATCTGACTATCTATCTGTTCATCAGTCTTCTATCTATCTATCTATCTATCTTTATATCTATCTATCTCTCTTTCTCGTTGTACACACACACATACACACACACACACACACACACACACACACATACATATGTATATATATATATATATATATATATATATATATATATATATATATATATATATATATATATATATATACATATGTATATGCACACACACAGCAATACAGGCATATATACATATACATTCACATATATCATTCCCTCTCTCCGTCTCCTCTCTCTCTCTCTCTCTCTCTCTCTCTCTCCGTCTCCGTCTCGCTCCCTCGCATGACCACACAGCGCAGCCGTTAAGCAAAGCGAAACACGACAAAGTTATTTATACACGCGGTTATAAATCAGAACGAATTAATCCAAAACGAAACCACCAGTGAATCAAATGAGACTGATGTGCACCCTTGATTGCTTTCTTACACCTCTCTCTCTCTCTCTTTTCTTTCTTTCTCTCTTTCTCTTTCTTTCTTTCTCTCTCTCTCTCTCTCTCTCTCTCTCTCTCTCTCTCTCTCTATCGCTCTCTTCCTGTCTCTGTTCTCTCTCTCTCTCTCTCTCTCTCTCTCTCTCTCTCTTCTCTCTCTCTCCTCTCTCTCTCTCTCTCTCTCTCTCCCTCTCCCTCTCCCTCTCCCTCTCCCTCTCCCTCTCCCTCCTCCTCTCCCTCTCCTCTCCTCTCCTTCTCCCTCTCTCCTCTCCCTCTCCCTCTCCCTCTCCCTCTCCCTCTCCCCCCTCTCTCTCTCTTCTCTCTCCCTCTCTCCCTTTCTCTTTGTACCTAGTTTTATCATCTCTTGTGCGGTTTCTCTCTCGCTCACCGCCGGTATTTTAGTCCCTACGTCATCTAAAACACCGCCTGGAATTAACATCATTGCGGCGCCGTGTGTTATCTCGCTCGTGTTTTGATTACGTCAAGTCGAGCGCGAGAAGAGAAATTATATTTATATTATAGTCGTCTCCCAGGTCGTGTTCCTTTTTTAATAATTATCATTATATATGTCTAGACTCTTTGAAAATATATACTGAGACAGTGTTGTGATTCATTGTGTTCATCTTTTCGAAGCTTACGGGATTATAAGATATCAGATGAATTAATTGTTTTGATTACATATGGATGATTATTAAATACTCATTCTTATTAATTTTCACTCATCACAAGGTGTTCAAGAGGTATCTTTTGCTCATTCTCACCCAGTCTTTCTCACCAACTATTGGTCAAAGATATCTATATTCATCCTTACTCATTCTTACTCATCACAGAAAGGCAATGAGGTATCTGTTCTCACCATCACTCATACTTACTCATCTCTGAATGTCCAAAAAGTATCTATACTCATTCATACTCACTCTTACTCACCATAAATTGACCATTGGATATCTACGCCCAACCATACTCATTCTTCCACTCCATAAATCATCTATTTTTTACTCATTCTTACTCACTCTTACTCACCATGGAGTGTCCGAGATACTCACCATAAATTGGCCAAGGATATCTACGCCCAAAAATACTCATTCTTGCCACTCCACGAATCATCTATTTTTTACTCATTCTTACTCACTCTTACTCACCATGGAGTGTCCGAGATACTCAGCGGCGTTGTCGGAGATGTAGAGCAGCTTCCCTCCCTGAGTCAGCATCATGAGGAAGCCGCTGAGAGCCTGGAAGGGAGACACGGGCGCCGGGTCAGCAGGCAGGTTGATAAGGGAAATGTAACTATATAAGTATCCTTAGCGTAAAAGATAAGAAAAACTAAAAAATAAAAGAAATACACACAAAAAAATAAAATTAATCCAAAACGAAATTATCTATATTTAAAAAATTAAATCTATTAAAATTAATAGATACACACACGTGTACTTATGCATATATGAATATATGTACATGTATATGTATATATATTATATGTATATATTATACATACCATTATATACATCCATACATATATGTGTGTGTATATACACGCACATTTATGTGTGTGTGTGTGGTATATATATATATATATATATATATATATATATATATATATATATATATATATATATATATATATATATATATATATATATATATATATATAATATATATATTATATATATATATATATATATATATATATATATATTATATATATATATAATTTATATATATAATATATATATATATATATATATATATATACATTTAAACATATAAACGCACATAAACACACAAGACCCCCCTTCCCTTTCCCCCTCCCTCCCCCCCCCCTCCCGGCCCGGCAATTACCCTCCCAGAAGGCCCAAGATGCGCGGGAAACGGCGCCATGGCGGAGGTGCCCGCCAATGACACCTCCGCGGCGGTAGTTAAGGCGGTTCCTCGTCACCCCAATCATCGTAATCGAGACTAATCATCGCTAATCATTACAATCATCACTAATATGCAAATTACAGGGGTGCCATGTCTCTGGCGATGACGGAGCGGTCGCTTGCGGTCGGCGGAGGCGGATGGCGGCGCCGCGGCCCGATGCGCTTTTGTTCTCGGCGGCGACCAAAGCGCGGGAAAAAAATCGTCGGGTCTATTTTTTTTTTCTCTCTCTCTCCTTTTTACGTTATATTTGAATATATATTGTATTTTTATATTTTTATAAATATTTTATATATATTTTATAATATTGTTATATTGTAGATAGACGTTTTTATGTTTGGTTTATTTTTTTCTTTCTTTTTTACGCTATATTTAGATATACGTTTTTATGTTTTTTTTTTTCATTTATTCATTCATGCGTCATTATCATGCCACGCCATAGGTGTATGTTTACTTTTTCTAGTAGGAAAATATCGGTGTATGTGTATATAGAATAAACATACATTGTGTATATGTATGTGCGAATGGGTATGTATGCCTTCATATGTGTAAGTCTGTGTGCATGCTTTTGTTATATATATATATATATATATATATATATATATATATATATATATATATATTATATATATATATATATATATATATATGTGTGTGTGTGTGTGTGTGTGTGTGTGTGTGTGTGTTGTGTGTGTGTGGTGTGTGATATATATATATATATATATATATATATATATATATATATATATATATATTTATATATATATATATATATATATATATATATATAATATATATTATATATATATATATATATATATATATATATATATATATATATATATATATATATATATATATATATATATATATATATATATTATATATATATATATATATATAATATACATATTAATATACACTATATATATATATATATATATATATATATATATATATATATATATATATATATATATATATATATATATATATATATATATGTATATATATATATATATATATATATATATACATATATATATATATATATATATATATATATATATATATATATATATATATATATATATATATATATATATATATATATATATATGTGTATGTCCGTGCGTACATCGTGTGTACGCACGGACGCAGCCTCTGCGACCCCGAACCGGAAGCGGCCTCGGCGTAGGCCTACCGGAGCCGCGAAGGGAAATCCCGGACATGAAACAGGTCGTCGAATTTCATCTCCTCCGTGACCTCTGACCTCGTGTCATCACCGCACTCTGATATCGGGTAATTGATAATCTTACCTTTGATGTAATTAAGGTGATGATGACAGACGGGTGATGAGGCGGTGGTGATGACTGTGATGGCGGGGAGAGATGAGGGGAGGTGGTGATGGTGAGGAGAGGCTGGCCTGGTGATGATGGTGATGAGACAGATTATATTGATGGTGACATTAGGTTGAAATGGTGATGATGCTGATGAAGAGAGACTGGGATGGTGATGATGAGACAGATGAAATTGATGGTGACGTGAGGTTGAAATGGTGATGATGGTGATGAAGTGAAGCTGGCATGGTGATGATGGTGATGAGACTGGTGATGACGATGATGAAAGGAGATTGATATGGTGACGATGAGAGTGAGACAGGTAGATGATGATGGTGATGTTGAGAATAATATAGTGATAATGATGATGAAAATGAGAACCGAGACGAAGAAACTAATAAAAGTAAAATAGAAATGGTGATGACGGTTAAATGATGAGACAAAGAGGTGATGATCGTGATGAGGAAAGATAATGAGGGTGATGATAATGCTTTTGGCGCTGTGTGTTGTCACTTTTTTTTTTTTCTTCGTTGATACTGATCAGAAATTTGAAAAGAAAGGACTTTTGTGGTTTAATGAAGGAACAATAGTCAGGCTTAACATCTGAACTTTTTTTTTTTTTAATCTGTTTTCTTTTCAGACGATATTTATTTGTTTGTTCGCTCGTTGTTGTTTTTGTTGCCTTGATGTTATTTCTCTGTTATTAAATTTAATTTGTTTTCCTTTTTTTACTTCAGATAATTTCGTTGATTTGTTGTTGTTGTTTTTCGGTTTTGTTATTTTGACGTTTTTTTCTTTTTCGAAAATATATTTTGTGTAGTTTTTTCTTGTTGCTGATAGCTTAATAACTGAATTCCAATATTCATTCTATTGCTTATTGTTATTCTTCTAATCTTTGGAGTTACATGAGGCAAAAAATAATTTTACCAAATACAGATGGATTACTCTCCAGTCACGTTATATATTTATAATAAAAAAAAAAAATGATAGACAATTAGGGTGAAACCGACCATTGTAATAATTTTAAGAATATACACATATTATATATATATATATATATAATATATATATATATATATATATATATATTATATATATATATATATATATATATATATATATATATATATATATATATATAATATATATATATATATATATATATATATATATATATATATATAATATGTATATTATATATATATATATATATATATATATATATATATATATATATATATATATATATATATATATATATATATATATATATATATATATATATATATATATATATATATATATATATATATTATGTATATGTATTATGTGGTGTGTGTGTGTGTGTGTGTTGTGTGTGTGTGCAATGATTATCATTACAACCATTTCAAAAAAAATCTAAATTCAAAGAAAAAGATTATATAAGCAACAAAAATAATAAAAATTGAATATACGATAAAAAACACAATAATAAATAAATATCTAGACCATTGTCATACACCCCCCCCCCCCTCCCCTACTCATGACACGTCCTTCCCTTCACCTGTCCTGTCATGTGTCAAAACCCCAGACACGTGTCACTGCCTACAGGTCATAGGCCTTAGATTTTTTTCCTTTTTTTTACTTTTTTTTTTTTTCTATTTGTTCTTTTTTTATTTTTTGCTGAACACTTTTTTCTACTTTTTCTTTTTAATTTTGTATTTCATTTCTTGCACCGATTTTGTGTTGGATTTTGGATTTCATCGTAAATAATCTAAGGTTGAATTATTTGTCGAGTTTCAAGGGAATTAAATCGTGTTCTTACATATTATTTATTTTTTCTCTCTATCTCTTTTCATTACTATTCTTTATTCCTATTTTTGGTTAATCTTTTTTCTGTTCTTTTTATTATTGTCACCATCACTTCTTCTCACATCTTTCTTACTTTGTTCTTTGGAATCTCTCTTTTCCTTATAAAACTGTCATTCTCTCTCTCTCTCTCTCTCTCTCTCTCTCCTCTCTCTCTCTCTCTCTCTCTCTCTCTCTCTCTCTCTCTCTCTCTCTCTCTCTCTCTCCTCTCTTCTCGTCTCTCTTCTCCCTCTCTCTTCTCTCTCTCTTCTCTTCTCTCTCTCTCTCTCTTCTCTCTCTCTCTCTCTCTCTCTCTCTCTCTCTCTCTCTCTCTCTCTCTCTCTCTCTCTCTCTCTCTCTGGCTCTCTCTCTCTCTCTCTTCTCTCTCTCTCTCTCTCTCTCTCTCTCTCTCTCTCTCTCTTCTCTCTCTCTCTCTCTCTCTCTCTCTCTCTCTCTCGCTCTTGTCTCTCTCTCTCTCTCTCTCGTCTCTCTCTCTCCAAAGTATTGCTTTCCATGGCCCAGTTGACTCCGACCGACCCATGACACCCCTGACAGTCACCCATGACACCCGTGACAGCGGCCCATGACACCCGTGACGAGATGCGCGCGCAGGTCACACAATGGGCTGATGACGTCACTGATCGGACGCCCCGCCGGCGGTCGGGAAATCTGAAGCCGGTTTCGTTAAGGATTTTTTTCTTATGCTTCAGTGTTTTATTTTAAGCTTTATTGCATTTATTTTAAATTTATTTTCAGTTTTGTTGTAATTCATATTTTTGTTTTTTTTATATATTTGTGATTTAGCGTTTTATTTGAAGTTTAATTGTTGTTTTTGGCTTTATCTGAATATATGGCTGTATTGCGATTGTTAAATACTGATCTTTTTGTTTATTATTGTCATTATTATTGTAAGCATTTTAATTATTTTATAGAAAATAATTCACTAATAAAGAGCATTGAATAATCTGTATGGATAAAGACATACATAAATGCACACACACTATATAAATGTGATATATATATATATATATATATATATAATATATATATATATATATAATATATATATATATATATGTATGTATATATATATATGTGTGTGTGTGTGTGTGTGTGTGTGTGTGTGTGTGTGTGTGTGTTGTGTGTGT